GTGATGCAGGACCAGTTTAGCCCAAAGTGTAGGCTGCTCCACTTTCAAGGTCGCTGACTTCAGTCACATACCTGAACTCTATCGGCCTCGGAGCCAGAGGGCAACGCTCCTCTAATGCGCACAGGAATTCCATTCATCGCACACCCGCTCAGATAACTCACAACACAAGGTCACAATACTTTTCTGCTCTAATAAAGTCCTAATAAAACTGTAAAATAAATCCTGTCAAATGTCAGTTCTTGTTTTAATATGGGTTTAACAACCATAAAAGTGTAATTAAAGTCAGTCTGTTGAGCTTCTTTCCCACTTTTCTCCTCACTAAACATTATTTCACATGTAGGAACATCCTCATTCACCACTGGAATAAAATCACAGAAACTGGATTTGTTCTTAAAGTTTCGGGGTATTCCTGATGTCTGCTGGTATTTTCATTCATCACATTAATGGTGTTTTTAACCAAAAGTCACTCTGGTTTATTTATTTTATTTTTTCTCCGTTGGATTGTTAACTGTTAATTAATGAACGGCTGTACTTTCTCCACAGTAAAAGCCCAAAGCTGATCAAATGTTATTTGCCAGATCAGTTCCAGCGCTGCAATAAAAATCCAGAGGATGGTTTACTTTTTCCAGTTTTGATGCAACCCAATTGCATCCATTGTCTACAGCCATGAGTGGGATCATCTCTTCCTGTTTGCATATTGGACAAAATGGCAAAAACAGAGTCTGTTCCTAAACTGTCTCTCTGTAAAAACAAGCAGAAAACTTTAGCTGAAAAGCAAACAGCAGGTAAAATGCAGCGAAAACGAGAAGGTGATGAAAGTGGCTGAGAGGAATCTTTTTCCATAACTCCTTTTTCCTTCTGGCAACACCGACCACTATTTTATGGAAAATACAAAGTTTAGAGACTCCTTAGTAGGCAGAACGATGAGGCTCAATGGCACTTTAACGCTGAGTCCAACAAATTCAGATCAGCAGGAAGGTGCCACGGTGGCTGCCTGCAGAATGTGTGTTTGCTCGACAAGCCGAGTTTTGTTTGCAGGTTCACAAGTTTTTTTAAAGAAAGTGTTTGCCGTGACACAGTTGCTGTCACTTCTCAGCAAGAAGACCACAAGATTTCGTCCAGCCTGGACTCTTTCTGACAGGAGTTTGCATGTTCTCTTTGTGCACGCATGGAAATAAGGTAAAAATAGTGAATAGATGTGTGCTGTTAGGCTAAATCCGGCAGGAATGGTGCACTAATTAATGGAAGTGGCCAATGCCTTGCTGCTCAAAAAAGGATATAAGAACAATGAAAAATCCTAGATTTATTTTTTCTGGCTCAGAGGTGAATTTCACTGGAATGTAGATTATGACACAAGAAGAGATGACGCAAAAGTTTCCAAAACTCCTGCATTTGGATCCAAGTCAGCATTGTTTTTGTGCTAATTAATTTAGAGAAGACAAACAACAGCTCTCCAAGACAACATTGAAATTATTGACATGACTCACTTTAATTTCAGGGAACGCTATTTGGATTCTCAGCTACAATGTGGGAGACAAACCTTTGGAGCTTTCTACAACAAAAAAACAAAGAGCAGAATTCCTAATTTTCAGCCTTAAAAGGCTTTTTGTGCAGCAGAAATGCTGCTTTTGGTCAAACTGTGTCATAAATATAATTAAATATAAATATAATTAAAGAGGCTTTTAGCAAAATTGTTTCATTTGTCAGTTTAAACTGCAGTTAAAGATCTAACATTCTTTGAATGAATGCATATYGTCACACTTATGCATACTTATCATAACTGAACAAATAACCAGGCGAACACAGGTAGATTCTAGAGTAAAAAAAAATTTAAGAAAGAAAGTGAGAAAGTGCTGGAGTTATGAAAGTTATACAAATCAACTTTATGAGTGCACTGCAGCTGTGTGAGACCAGCTAAGAATGCCCTCCCAGACAAATTCTGTGCCAGTAAATMTTTTCAAACCACAAAACAAGGCCGCTGGCGCTGAGATTATACACTGAGAGTGTGCCGCTCAGGCTCAAGTCACTCACTGGCTTCGGACATTTAGTGATAACCTATAAAACGGAGTGATTCAACTAAATGTAAAGACCATTTTCCAGCAGCAATAGCTGAAAGACCTGCGTGTTAAAATGCTCTGTCATAACCACGAACATACATCTTCTTAAAATAGCCTTTTGAAGTGAGGGTGTGGCCACCACTTATATTTGCAATTACCACGCTGTTCRTGACGTTATTCAACCTTTAAATTAGACGTATACACACATCATCTTGTGGTTCAGCATTATTCGATTTGAACTGAAACAAGAGCAGATTGTTGCACAACACCACGAGATGCACGAATACACTCATCAAGTGTTTTTTTTTTTTTCTTCTTTGCGTACAAAATTTAAGGTCCTAAATGTCAGAGAAAGCAGAAATCAGGTTTAGTGTCGGTCTTTGTTTCTGGAACATTCTTGTTCTGTGTCTTTAGCTACAGAGTTTGGGGAAAGAACGTCTGGTTGTAACTCTGCAGACCCCCTKAAAAATCAGACAGGGGTTTTAACGCTTCTAGGGAACACTGCAGCGAGGACACTAAAATAAAGTAATTGAACACAATGGAAGGAATAAACTTATCAGTGGAGAACATTATCCTCGTGTAAACTCGGAACTAAAGGCAAAGGAAACCGTAAGCTGGGAAAAGTGTCTGAACCTGCAGGGTAAGAAATACTGCATGTGAAAATGTCAGCTTTTGTACTAATTTGTCACAGATCCTGGGTGTTAAAATGGACATTCTTATTCAGATGTAAGTCCTAATGTGAACATAAGCATGTGTGTGTGTGTGTTTGTTTTTATTTAATGTGTGACTTTGAACTTACAGTCATCTCCTGGCTGAGGCCCAGAATCTCCAGCTGCTGTTGGATTTCTTGGAGCCGCCTCTCCTGCTCTCTCCTCTCCTTTATATCCTGCAGGACCTTCTCTCCTGGCTGCCGGTCCCTATCGCACTTCCAGCCAACGTCGGAGCCGAGGCCCTGATGCACAACAGACATGACGGGTTCGCACAAGGAAGGAACACCTCATCTCACATGGGTGCACTCAACAGAGCAGCGCTCCACTTATTTGGTTGGCACTTGGTAGCATTAAAAAAAAGAAATAAAACATCACTGCAATCAATTCATGTGAAATTTTCCATTTCACTAAAACTCCTGTTCAGACCAATCGAAACCAAAGGCTGTTTACTGCTGACTGGAGAAAGCTTAGAGTAGAACCACATTCTTGTCAGTAGAACTAAGCTTATCTATTGTCCTTTTGGACATTTTGCAAAATAAATCACATCTTTACAGCATTAAGAGGAACTCAGCTAACCACTAGCAGCATCCAAAGCAAATGTTGAAAAATGGGTCAGGARGAACAAAAAGTGAAAAGCTCGACTTAATCACCACAGGATGGATCTTTGTCTTTGTGCCTTAGGTACAAAGGCAAACAGAAACCCACTGTCAGGCCAATAAAAGTTGGCAGAGTGGATTAAACTATTCCAAGTAAAACGGAAATTAGGACTTACCGACGTCTGGCAGACTCTGTGCACCTGTTTTCTAAACGTGACATCTGTCATTAACTGGGACGCACTGCTGCTAAATAAGAGTTCATTTAAATAACAGCTGAACATGAGTGCACAGATCAAATCAGCTAACGGTGAGCATAAAGCTACCTGCAAATGAATGAAGTTTGTTCAATAAGCCAGAAGATCATAGAAAAGAGAAAACTTATAGGGAGATAAATAAGGTGGAAAGAGGAAAGTTTGAGCTCATTTGACAGATGCATTCATTAGTTTGGCAAAAACAGTCACTTGATTAGTGTATTTTTGAGATAAACTAGAAAAATAAACTAACAAAAAGCAAAACTGGTAAACTGGCTTCACACGTGAGGTAAACAGAGAAAAGCTTAGAAAGTATAGCTACTGGGAGAAGAGAACAGGTGTGATGATTACTAAAAAAAGACGTTGTAAAAGAGGAGCTGGAAACAGGGAGAATTGTAAGCATCTCATAGCAATAATGATGGAACTGAAAATTCCAAATTTTAAAAATAACCAGAGTGTATTGTTAAAGGGGCAATAGTATGTGTTTCTCAGGCATACATTTAAATACTATACCATAATAAAGTATCTATGTCACCTTTAGTTGTTATTAAAATGCTGTTTTATGTTTAAATAGAAAATAAATTTATCTTCTCATCACTTCCTCTTCTAAAAGCCTTGAAATTGGCCACTGTCTCTTTAAGAACCACCTTCTGCTTCTGTCCCACCCATTTCAGTGTGGGGGGGGGATGTGATCGCGGGGGGGGAGGGAAGGTTGCTATGATGCAGCTTACTTGGCATCTGAAAATACATTTCCTTAAAAGGTATTTTTAATCTGAAAAGAGCTTCACTGAGAGAGAAGTAGCGTTAGCTCAGCAGACAGTTTCAGTTTCACGCGAGAGCCTGCAGGAGTCATGGGCGGGGTGTGTGTGTGTGGGGACTGGGGGAGGGGGTGGTGCGCTCTGCCATGAGGAAGTTCGACTTAAAGACATGTCCCAGGTGTGTTTCTGGTACCAAAAGTCTTTTCTAGTCCCCACCTGTTGTTTTGCTCCTCAGCATGGCTTCCTAAAAACGCTGCAGGATTTCTCAAACATGCATGAATGAGTCAAAGCAAGGCTTTGGGTGTGTTTTTTATGAGAGTATGACATTATAACATGATATAAAACTCAAAAAAGTTGATTTTACATGATATTGCCCATTTAACTGAATTTAAGATCCATTCTTGTAATTTCAGTCATTTGTTTTAAACAGAGTCGGTATGTTTTACCRAAATGAGGCCCTTCTCTCTGCACAGACAAAGCTTGATTTCATTCTAATGTCTGACGTAAAAGGTGCTGCCCCTAGTGGTGTGACCAGGAGGCTGTGTTTCATGTACACGTGACTTTACGARGTTGATCCATCATTATGCTTTTTAGTTCAGCCTGGGACAAATGCTGGGCTGCTGAGAGGGTTTGTTATTGTTCTGATAAGACCCAAGGCCTCAAACTCACAGGCCCTGCCTGGCTGATCTGGCTGTGAGCTGGATTGGAGTTCAGATTTTTGAATAAAACCTTTTAGAAAAGAATCAAAAGRTTTTCTGCAAAGTTATTCAAACTTCCAACTCTGATCATGTTTTTCTTACAAGAACATTTTCAACAGTGGTGGATAAAGTACTCTGTTTCTTTACTAAGGAAAAGTACTGATCCTACTGGTCAAACAGTACTCCAATAAAAGTAAAAGTAGCACTGCTAAATTATTACTTAAGTTAAAGTACTTAAGATATATTTAAGTAATAAAAGTACTTAAAAGGTTGATGYTTTTCCTCAAATGTTTTCGTCATTTTCTCAAGTAAATTGACTTTGTCACAGCCCACCTCTGATTTTCAAATTATTAAACACAATTTGAAGTWAACAGAAACAGTAAATAGGGTCCAGGGTCTGAGGACGCTGAAAACCAGAAATCTGTTTCAGAGTGTCGATCAGCACCATGTGGCTGAAACCTCCTTCTGTCTGCATTCATCTGGACGGCAGGCAGGCGCAGCTGTGACCCAATATTGGTTTCACTTATGGACATTTATAGGATGTTGACATGTCAATAAGGACTTGCTTATGACAAAATGGTAGGTTACTAAAGGAGCTGGGGCTGAGAACATGTTATAAACTGAAATACAGTGTTTCTAAATCTGTTATGACATGTTTATATTAGAATGTTAAAACCAAGGTAGGAGGAAAGTTTGGTCAAATACTTGGATGTGAAGAGTGTCTTCATAATAAACAAAACTAAAAATTAAACTCAACTGATATCACACGCTGCTTTTGCCCAAGTTTTAGGCAACTTTGTGAAGCAAATTTTGGCAAAAACAAAAATCTCCAAAATACCTTTCTGTGTGTGGCCTCACCTAACGTTTGCCTCTGTCTGCCAGCGTGGAAATAATGACAGCTTCTATCTGAGGCCTCTCTCAAGTGGTTGACATGGGACCCTTTTGGTTACGACTCACTCATCCTAAACACCAAATGCCCAGGACCACAACGAGATCTGACTTCTGTCACGCACCGTAGTGAGCCTCCCGACTCGGAAAAATAAAAATTAAAGTCTAGCTTTACCGCCGTCCTCGCACCACTAAATGCACGTTGCTAAAAAAGCTCAGATCTTTGTGAGAGACAGTTTATTTAATTTGGAAACAACAGCTACCCTGCTTTTCAGAAACAGGCTGCTAACCTAAAACGTGTCTGCGAGGTTTAACAACGATAAAGCCACTGACCAGTCTGAGGGACTATGACATGTTTTTGTCCAAATAAACACTTTATAAATCCTGATGAGTTCTGCGGGGAAAGCCCCGAGTCTCTTTATTAAAGTCCCACTCATCTAATTATAGCACAATCTGTTTCACGCAGCTTTTAATCTGTAGTTATTATTGCCTGACAGGCAAGCAAATATGTAATTGCCTGTTTCTCTGTGCGTGCATGTTTGTCTGTTAGCAAAATTACCTCTTGAATAACTGGACAGATTTTAGAGAAACAGAATAATCTCTGGATATACAACTGGTTAACTTTGGGAGTAAACACCATTTAAGATGGCTGCAACAGCTACGTGACATTTACAAATATAACAATCACTATAACTCAAATTTAATATCGTCATCTCAGAGGGTAATCCCCAACGCATGCTAAGAAAACTAATGAATCAAGCAGCATCTTTGCAAGCAGCTGATAAGTACTCCTTCAGGGAAAGCTATTTTCATATTAAAAGGGCAATATTATGTGTTTCTCAGGCATATATTTAAATACTATACCGTAATAAAGTGTCTATTTCACCTTTAGCTGTTATTAAAATGTTGTTTTATGTTTAAATAGATAATAAACATCTTCTCATCACTTCCTCTTCTAAA